CACCAAAATGCATTTTTTCTAGCAATATACTCTTGCAGTGTTTATTCAGCAAGTAATTACTGAGCACCCATTTTCTGCAGAATACTTTCTGGATGCCAGCCAACAAAACAAATGAAAATCCCTGCCTTCATAAACTTGGCATTCTATTAGGTTTCAATAAGTGTAATAAATAAGCAAATTAGACAGTGAGTTGAAAGGTGATAAATACTATGGAATAAAGAAAAAGAAGAGCAGCGTAAGGGACCCGGGGCATGTGGCACTGTTACAGGGAGGCCAGAGAGGGCTTCATTGGAAAGGAGACACTGCAACCACATGGAGATTTCGTTTCTTCAATATGACCTTTTCACCTTTCTTTCCTTTGGATTCAAACGGGCCTCTCCCAGCTCCCTGCTGCACCTGCCTCCTTCTCCCTGGCACGCCCACTCCCTTCATCACGAAGCCCTCAGGGCAGCGACGTTCTGGCCGGTATCAGATAATCTTTGGAACGAAGCCTGGGGTCCATTGACCGGAGAGAAAGAGTTTTGGTAGAACTGGAGATAACATCTAGGCCCGAGCTGTGTTTCAGCTCCTGGCCCAAAAGAGCAACAAAATCAGATGAAATGACGCCAGGGCTGACATCTGGACCAAATGCAATGACCAATGACCCCCTACCCTAGCATCAACCAAACAGTAGAGACCACGACCCTGACCACGAAACTAACTCCCTTAGTCACCGTAATTCATGATTTTCACCCTATATAACTGGTCTCCTGGAAGCCCTGGGGAGCCAGGTGTTTGAGCATTAGCTCACCTGTGGCTCTGGGCGCGGGCCACGCACCGCCTGGAAATAAAGCCTGACTTTGCTGCAGCCTCCCGTTCGTGCCTTATCGGGCTCTGATGCACGCAGGCAAATGGACTCTTTTAGTCCAGTAACGACACCTGTTTGATGGGGCAGACATCCTATCAATGTAATACAATAATAGCAGCCATCTCAGTTTTTGAGTGCCTAGTATATGTCAATTCTTGTCCCAAGTGCCTTAAAATATCATTTCCGATTCTCAAAATAATCCTATGAAGCAGGTAACTACATGTCTCTCTTTTTACAATGGGAAAATGAACGCTTAGGAAAGTTAAGCACGGGGCCAAGATCACACAGCAAATACATGGCTGGGCAGGGATTTGAATTCTGGTAGCTGATTCCAAAGCTCCTGGTCTCCCCAACATCCTGGGTGGTTCTCAAGGTGTGGTTTCCAAGGTGCAGTTACAAAAGTACCGGGATGCCCTGAAAGTATTCATTAGATAGTGCAGATTCCTGGGCCCCATCCTAGCTCTACTCAATCTGATTCTCTGGAGTTCAGCCCAGAAATCTGACTGTCTGACAATTTTCCTTGGGACTCTGCTGCATGCTCAAGCTTGAGAACCACTATTACAATCTGCTGCCCTGATCTTTCAACAGAGTGATCATGGTGGTCGCTAATCGACAGAATGCTCATGATGGCTGTTATCATGACCAGCTCTAGAATTTCCAACACAATGTCTAAAAAGCAAACAACTGGTGGAAAAGGCTGTCCTAGTTAGAACTCTTGAACCATGTATCAGCCTCTGAACCTAGGCACCTCTTCCGTATTACGGGACAAAGCCACGTTCTTTTCTGCCCTTTCCCATTAAGTCAGATACTGGCCACTTGGGAGAGACACCAGGAAATGAAGGACATTATTAACACTGAGAACAAACTTTGGGTCCCTGCCAGGCCTCTGCGAGTTTTTATATCTCTTCCATCAGTTCTGTGGAATCACTGCCTCCATGGCGCATTCTGCCTTTAGGACATACTCACAGCCACCTTCTAGCACAAATCTTCCTTTCTAATGCCAATGGGAAGCAATGCCTCTCTCTCTGAGTTCATCGACCCTTCCAAGGGCTGTGAAACTGCGTAGTTCTTAACTACCTTGAATTATCAGGTCCTGATTAGCTTTATTCTTCCTTGTTTGAAATTTATGTACTAATTCTGAAAGTTTCTTAAAAACAAAACAAAACAAAATGAGACAGCTAAGTACACGATTGAATTGTTGTCCACCTACACAGACCACCTTGGCCAACCAGCTCCCGGCTTTGGTATAATCAACTGGATTCTGAAATGCCAAATATGACAAGAGAAGCTACAAAGTGCCGGGATTAATTTTCTTCTGTACTTTATGGAAATAAAAGAGGTGAAGTCAGTGGTAGGGAACAGAACCATGCAGATTTTAGAACTGGAAGAGATCTTGGTTAATCATTCATTCTAACGCAGTCCTCTGATAACTAAAGAAATAAAATCTAAGAAGGTGAGGTCACATAGCTCATGTATAGCAAAGATAGGACTACAGCAAACTTCTCTGGTTCCAGAACCAGTTTTCTATGTTCTGACCCAGGCTTGGGATCTCTGTCCCACTACCCCGGGCATCCCACGGTCTTTTTTCTCAATATGTAATTCCCATAATCCGTCGGAGACCAAGAATGCTCAGAGAAAGCTATCCTTAATGTCTTCCGGCCCAAACCTTTTCATATGTATAAGGACTCAAGCTTAGTAATATAGAAGTCATATGCCACAAACTACCATTGAGTCATTTATCAATTCAACCAATATTTCTTGTCCCTACCATATGCCAGGCACGGACATAATGCAGTAAAGGAAGTAGGTTGAAAGGATGAAAATTCTCTCACAGAGCTTACATTGTAGTGGGGAAAACATTCAACAAACAAGAGAAATTAGTAAAACCCCATATGAGTGGTGGTGAGTGCTAAGGAGAAAAAGCAGGGAAGGGGAACAGCAAGTGAGGAAGCGTGTGCATGCTGGCTGTGGGGCTGTATTTTAGACAAGGTGGCCAGCGAAGTCCTCACTGAGAAGTAAAGACCACAACTGGGGAACCAAAATATGAGCTATAACCCAAGAGAATCTTGACATCAATTTCTACAGAGAGTGACAAACAAAGATCAGGTCTGGAAAATGTTGGAAAAGGCAAAACACTGATGTTTTTCTGCTGCTGTTAGTAGCCCAGGTGGCAGGAAATGGGAAGGAGAGGGATGGCGCAATTAAGATGGTGGCAACTATACTTTCAAGGAAGCCAGGAAGAGTTTTCTTAGCACTTGAGGTGAAAAGCAATGCCTGATGGTTTGTGGTTGCATATAAAGAACTTTTCTTAGAATACAGAATTGAGAGAACAGAATTAAGATTGATGAGAGGTATTATTTTGTTTAAAAAAAAATCCAGAGAGCATGAAGTAATGCCAAGACTACTTGGCAAAATGATACGTGACTTAAAACTTGATGAAAATGTTGAAAAGTTCAGTCATTTGATTCATCCAAATATGTAGTTAATTATGAGGATTTTGGCTGATGTGTGAAATTTACATAGAGTTAATGACAAATTCCACATTGTTTGAGAGCTTACAGCATGCAAAACAGGAACAGTGTTTCAGAGGCTCAAAGATGAGCAAGGCACTGTTATTCCTCAGTGACGTTTTGACTTTTCTAAATCTATTTTCTGTTCCTCTGGGGCATCCAGCAAGCATGCATTTCCTAACCTTCCTTGCAGTTAAATACATCTTATGGCTCAGTTCTGGCCAATGGCATTTGCGTACGCATGATGGATTGTCCCTTCTAGGTTTGGCCCATAAATCCTAGAGGATTGCAGAGTCTCAGGATGCAAGGAACTGTGTCCCTAAATCATGACCTGTAAGGCTGTCAAACATCTGATTGAACTTTATGTCAACAAGATAGTTATGCCTGTAGTGTACTAAGATTTGAGCCAGTTTGTGTTGTCCAACTAAGATAATTAGTAATTAGCATTTGCATAAAATTTCATAGTTTGCAGAATACTTTGACATATCAAATGATTCTGGGAACCACCCTGAGAAATGGGCCATATTTTTATTTTTTCTATTTCATAAACTGAAATCGATGCTTATTGAGTATTGAATTACTTGATCACAATCATATATATAAGACACAGAGGGCAAAGTTTTTAAATCACTGGCTCTCCAATTTACAAAAAAAAATTAGTATAAGACAAAATATGGAAATAAATTTAATGCAAGGCATTTGAAAAATATAGGGAAAATATGGAGAATATTCAAGAGGAGACTAGCACAGTTGGTTTTAGAGACACAAAAGGCTGTAGTGGAATAGGTAAGATTTATGGTGAGTGGGAGCACATTGACAAGAAAAATGGGAGAAGAAACATAGAGAAAATTCCTGTAGATTTTGACAAGCAATGTGAGTGGTAAACAGAAATAGAAGAGAGTTGGCATTTGTTCTAATATTTCAAGGGAAGTTGGAGCAAGCAATGCAGTTTTTTGAAAGAAAACAGGAACTGGTAATTCAATACAAATCAAAAAAATATTTATTGAGTGCCTGCCAGATGAAGGGCTTTCCAAAAGTGGACAGAGGATACAGAGAGGAGATATCAAGGGCACAGCCCGTGTTTTAAATGTGTTTATAATCTACTAGGGGAAATATTTCATAGATGACTGCAGCACAACGTTAAGATAAACATCAATAAGAACAGCAATGGGGCTCACAGGACAGGGAAATGACATGGGTAAGTGGCATGAGAAGGACAGGAAAGATAGGTGGAGCTTGATGGCGGAGGTAAAATATCAATATTGACCTCGGAGAAGGTGTCATTTCTGGGGATGGTTTTGAATATATAAATTCATGAGAACCACATATAATTCCAAAGGGAATAGTTTTATCAATATTTTGAGCTGGTATATGAATAATGAAATGACCCCAGAATATGACCACTGTTTAGAGCACAACAAAGTGAAACTTCTAATTTAAAATATGTTTGTTTAAACGCGGAATCGCATTACAGTGCTGTCATACATTGTACATTTCTATTCCTATTAAAACTGCATGGTTTCCAATGAATTCAATGACCAGCACCATAGGCCGGAAGGCGGTATGTGTGGGTCTCACTGCGCCACCAGCAGGCAATCAGTAGGCAGTTTACTGAGATGCCCTGCCGAAGAAGGGCCACCTACCATGAACAGGGCTTCATAATTTTCAATCATTTTCTGAACCACAGCAATGATGGCCGTACTCTCCTCAGCCCGGGCAGAACTCTGGACCGAGAATTCTTTGTCTGATGACTTCTGCTTGTGCAGCAGGTTGGGTCCAAAAATGGTGGCCAAGTTTAGAGATGTCATTTTGTTCCCAGTGACCTATAGGAATAGAGAGTACAAAAACTGTTATTTTGTCCTTCAAAATGCCAAGTGGTTCAACAATCAATGGAGCCTCTTCCTTTCCTTTTTTTCTGCAAGGACTACCTTGTCTCTGGCAGAGTCTGTGAGGGGCGCCATTATTTTCGCTTTGCTTTATTGGATCGAAGCTCATAGTGCAGTGGCCGTTTCAGTCGCGTACTGAATAAAATTTTACAACTCTAAGTTATTTATTGTGAAACTGGTACTACATCAAATTTCTATCCTGCCTGCTCATTAAAAATATTGATGTCCACCCAACCATCCTTCCCTTCATTCATCAATCCATCATCTCTCCATTAATCCATCCACTCAGCGCCTACCACAGGCTAGGCATGGTTCATGGATTTTTATTGTTTAAAAATTGTTCCACCAATGATCACAACAGAGTCTTTATTTCAAGGTTTCACACTCTAGAGGGTAAAGAAACTTATCAATGACAAGAAGCAAGTACCCAGTATGAAGCTATCAACTCTGGAGGCCTCAGGGACACTCCGAAGAGGTGGCAATATTTGCACAAAAACTTGAAGGAAGAATAGAGTGCTAGGCTGAACAGCAGGGGAGCTGGGACAGAAGGCGATTGCACAGTGGTGAGAACGCCGCAGGCAAAGGCAGAAACGTGGAAAATACCTTCCTACACATCAGGAGCCGCAGCGTGGCGGGGGGTCCTGAAGGAAATCCAAGAGAGACCCCGTTAGGAGTCATTGCCCCATGTCCCCTGTGGGGCAAAATCGCCCCTGGTTGAGAGCCACTGGTCTAGGCAATTTTTTTTTTATTTCTCTTGTTGATATAGGAAATCTAGAATTTCTGGTTAAGTATGGGAACTGCGGCTGCTCGGTGGGGACCTATCTGTGGTCTTTGGGAGGCACCTGGGTGCACAGCACAGAATTCAGGCATCCTGATTCAGAGCCAGGACAAAGCCTCCCAAGCCTCAGTCTCGCCCTGTGGAGCACAGATGTGGTGGCTGCCAATCGTGCAATCCCAGGGTGGCACATGGGAGGCATTATTTTCAGACGGTGAGGCCGTTTTCAGGTTTGCCACCAAGTAAAGTGATCCTATGCGGTCAACACTAGGAATTTTCAAGAAAGTGCCCATTATGTAAGACTGTTCAGTTACCATTTCTTTGTTTTATTTCATTGATATAAAACCTGACAAGTTTTCATTTTAGTTTTCATTTCTCCTCCTGCAAATGCATGGCTAAGGGTAAAATCAAATATGTGCCATTTTCCAATTCATCCCTCTAGAACTCTGAAGTATTTGAAGTGCTTTTCTTTGCCCTATTTAAAGTAATATCAGAGCTTTCTGATTTTAAAAGTATTAACAAACAGAAGATTCTTTTTGGCTTAAACCATAGACATTTATTTCTCACAGTTCTGGAGGCTGGGACGTCCAAGATCAGGGCACCAGCCGACTCGCTCTCTGATGAGAGCCCTCGCCCTAGTTTGCAATGGCCGTCTTCTAGATGCCTCCCAGATTTTGTTTTCTTTTAAAAGAATGTTTAGTACAAGGACAATCCAGAACTCTGTTTCCGCTCTCTCCTTCTCCTGTTGTTATTCTGGGAATGCAATACAATCCGCCTGTAAGATTGCACATGGATTCCAGCTGCAGACCACGCTGCTGTGGTTTGTTAACACTGTTTTGTTTTTATTTATTGTTCTTTTTCATTGGAGACTGCTTCGTGACAGTTTCTACCCTTGCTCCCCACATCTCAGAATGTATATGCCGATGTCTAGGTAGCACAATGTGCACTTGGGGTGGGCTCATTATTCCATTATTAGCCAGCCAATTCAAGGGAAAATTTTTATCTCTACTAAATAAGCATCCTAGATTGCTTCTAAGCCTAATACGAACAGCTCCCCTTTATTAAAAGTTTAGCATGTACAGTCACTGGGCTGGGGGCTTCCCAGAGGCCATTTCAAGTCTTCTCACTAGAAGCTCATGAAATAGCTGCTGCTTCTGCCCTTTCTGACAGACAGGGAGGCGACACTTAGAGCCCACAGCCAGGAGGTGGTGGGACTGAGAAGCAAAGCTGGTGGCTTGGCTCCAGGCAGCCCCATGCTCTCCATCACTACCTTCCTGCTGTTCACTCTTGAGCGGCAGGCTCTGTCATTCCACAGGGACATGGGACACTGGCTTCAAAGCGGGGCCGGGACCAGGGTGAGGAGGCCAAGCGCTCGCTGATCCTGTTACACTTCCAAAGCCAACCTCCCACTTCCTGGAGGCATGTACCCCCTCAAAGGTCAGTAATCCTGGCTCTACTTTGGCAGTTTGGAACTTCTTTTTAGCCTCATAGACGCCTTGAAAACTAAAGGCCAGCCTCGAACTCTTTCACCGAAAGAGTGTATATTCACACCACATCTTCCACGCAATGCCAGAGGGTTCCTGGACAACTGAAAAACCACAGCTCTAGAGGTTTCAAGTATGCTCCTGCAATACTCTTTCTAGAAGAAATGAAATCTCTCATACTTTGGGAATTTATTTTTCCCCTAAGGAGCACAGCACATAGCAAACTAGACAAAAAGGAATAAAACAAACAAACGCAAGACAGAGAAACAACACAATTTGATAAAATACCACCACTTTTCCCAAGAAAAGCACTGATTGACTGGCCAACAGTTTTTCTCATGCTCTTCTTTTGGACATCTTTAAGGTCCCATTCGTTCAACATGCATTGAATTTTAAGCACTCATTAGAAAGGAAATATTATGTTCACTTCATAAAGGAGGAAGCTCAAACCTACTCCCCGACCCCAACTCTGTTTTCCTTCCTCTTCCTCTGTTTTATAAATACAAGGTCATGTAGCAAGGTGTTGGCAGAGCCTGTGTGAGCTCCAAGCTTTTTAACTCCCTGATTCAGTCTTCTTCTGTGCTCCAATACATAACAACTACAAATAGTTAACCAACCAAGAGTTGAACATCTAACACAGACTGACAGACAGGTAAGACAAAAAGCTGAAATTGCTTTGTTTCTTCACCATATTTTACAATTTAGTTTTTGCCTCACCCCAGTCTTCTCATTCTGCATTCTCTTCCCACTCCTGCCAAACCAACTGAAAAAAGCAGCAAACAAAGAACCTCTCTCTTGTTCCTCTCCCTCTACTCTCAACTTCTACCAGGAGCGGTTTTTAGCTAACTCCCATCTCTATGCAATGCTTGTGTGTTGTTTATTCAGCCCTTACACAGCCTTTACTCAATTCCTACAAAACCTTTGAGGTGAAGTTTAAATTCAATCCCCTCCATGAAGCCATTCCCAACTTTGATGGCCCATGTTCATCACGCCTTCTCTGAACTTCTGCAGTGACTCTGCATTTGCCCCGCATCCTCATGGTCTCTACCTCCTAGATGCCACAGCATATCAGGAACAGTAATTACAAAATTTCTCAACAATACTCTCTGGCTTAGAGGAACTCAGGGTAGGCGCCCAGGTGTACACGGTTCCAATATCAAGACCATACCTGCATGAAAACATTTATAATGCAAATTGCTGTTTTCCATATTGCTATTCATACAAAAGCTTCCTAACTCACTCAGTCCCTGTCTCTAACCAGTCTACAACATGGAATATTCCACCTTAGTGGAACCCTTCGAAAGATTCTTTCAGGTCTTAAAAGAATCAATCACCTACCCACTTACAAAGGCATTCATTACTCTGTGAACATAGAGCAATTTCCCCTTATACCTCATCAGTACTTTCCCACTCCGTAGCCTTTACTTCAATCTAAGATGGCTGCGTTGGCTACTTGTTTCCCTGTACCTTACAACCATTTCACAGAAGCAATGCTCTCCTCCTATTTCCTCTGCAGCTTTAATTTTTGATTACTAATCCTCCATTTTGATTCAAGGTTTAGGTCAAGACTGTGCAGAAACTCTTAGAATCTCTCACTTCCCCGTACAACTTTGCTGTTTGCAGGGTATTTGCATATTCCTTGTAGTCATTAGCCTTCTGAAGCACTGTGCAGTGCCAGTTGAAGAATTTGTATTCCCAAAATTCAGATAAGTCAACTCAGGTTTAGAAAGGTGAGTAGATTTATCTAAGAACACATGGTCAGTGAGCTGTAAAGCAACCAAGTGCTCTCAACTGGGGTGATTTCGCCCCTTCCCCCAACCCCACAGGATACTTGGCAGTGTCTAGAGACATTTTTGGTGGTCACAGTTAGGGTGGGGGTGAGAAGGAGCTGCTTCTCGCATCAAGCGAGTAGAGGCAAGGGATGCCTGTAAGTATCCCACAATGCACAGGGCAGCTCCCACTACAAAGGATTACAAAGTTCCAAATGCTAACCACAGGGAGACTGTGAATCCCTGAACAAAACCCTGAACTACACTAGTAGGTCTTTTTTACTTCCTATTCTATATTTCTGTTTTGAGTAAGTTAGATTGGTTTGGATTTGAGGCACAGCTGGGACTTTACTAATTATGGGACCAACCTGACCACTACTATCCGACGTGACAACTTTCTGTGAATTAGAAAAAGGAGTCTCTTCCTCAAGATATTTTACTGCCTTTTGCTGGGACACTGTCTCAATATATCTGCAAACCTACAGTGACAATGAGGTACAGGGTGCCTCCCCAGAGGAGGGAAATGCAGAAATGCATAACTCGCGTAACCGTAAGTGGATGCTCCCTGTGGGACACTGGAGAAGGTGCGTAAGGCCTCGAACCCTCAGTTTTTGCCTCTGAAACATGGGGTCAACGATGTCTTCCTTGTGCAATGGAGGATTCGCTATAATATATAAAACCCCTAGTACACAGCTAGCACATGGTAAAAGACACAATACCAGTAACTCGTTATTTCAGCATGCTAAGTTTCCTTTGTACCTATCCAAGAATATTTTCTTCCCTTTGGCATAAACAATGGAGTCTTGTCCAGTATTTAGACTAAAAAAGTGTCTGAAAATGATTCTAAAAAAGCAAGAGTGGGTTCAATTGGACTTTTTGCTTGCTTCAATTCCTTCTTAATCACCTGAGGCCCAATTTGCTCCTTCTCATGTAGTACTTAAGGCACGTCAGAGAAGCACTGGTACACCTAGGAACGTAGACAGCGTTCTGCCTTCACCCAATGATTAGGAAGATGATTCCACAGCTCCAGTTATATCCATAGTCGATAAAGGATGACACCAAGATGGGTAACGTAACTACTTAACAATTATGAGAATTATAGGGTATCCCTCAAAGAGCTGTGTCTGCTGAAACAAGGTGTCAGTACCATATTATGAAACCTGAAGCCAGCAGAGGTTTCACTAATTATAACTGCTATACAGCTAAATGGCTAACTCAGGAAAGTTCCATTCTTATACCTAAATGGGAGATGAGCATAAGAAATGCAGAATTGCCTTTCTGGATTAAAGTGAAAAAATTATACATGACTATGATTTTGGGAAGGAAGTTTGGCAAACACAGAATTGAATCCACAATACAGCCAAGCCTTTGGCCCCTTGTTGATTTCTAATGTGTGTTAGCATGTTGAAGGGTCTGAGATCTCCTGGGGAATCCAAGGGCAAGAAGTATGACTGCATGGTGTCAAAAAGGAAAACAAGTCTCTGGTTAAGGTGAAGAAGATTAAATAGGTTGCTTGCTAAAAGGTCACCTGAAATTGAGGCAAACATCTCCTTTGTCTAAGTCTCAAACCTAAAAATACCTTGAAGCATACGAGTGTGACCAAAGCAAACCAGACCCCAAGACCTCATAGGAGCATGGCCTGAGTGGGGACCAGGTCCAACAAGAATGTCCCAAAAGGGTCCATGGGGCTGTGCAGAACCTGGCTTCAGCAGCTGACACCATGAGGCACTGAGGTGCATGGCAGTGGTCAGCAGAGCATACCTTCTAGTTCCTTCTACTCCTGGTTTGGAAGCAGGACTGGCCTTCCATTGCACTGAGCCAGTCTCTGTTCTGGGGGGAGGGTTTAAGGAGAGAAATGACCTCTCAAAAGGAAGGTACTAGACTTCTAGCTATAGGGCAGATGGGGGCTCCAGGAGCAAACTGGACAAATAAAGAGGTAACATCACATTTTAGCTCCCAGTGAAAGAAGCAGACCAAATTACTTACAAGGGCAGCAATCTCTCCTCACCGCTATTACCCCATCTTTTCGTGATTGTAAGTATCTCTGCAATTCATTGTTCATCTGCTTCACACAAAAGGAAATTTGAGATCTTGAGGTAAAGCATCATCATGGAAAATGACTACCTCATTTAGAGGAATCCTCGAAACATAGGACGTTAATGGCCCATGCACTCTTAGGAACTGTCCCTCTAGAGAAAGCCCTGCATGAGTTCGTCCTACATAGACGGGTGGGGGAAGTTAAAGTGTATTTCCGCTAGGTGAAAGGTTTGAACCAAACTGATGGCTTGCCCTTTTAAACAAAAAAAGGGGAGAGTCACAGCGTCTACGGCAGCGGAGGGGTCCATACCTCTTGTCCATCTTTGCTGATGTTGTCATTGGCGTGCCGGGCCACAATGGAGAGGAACTGCAGGAGGCGGTGGAGTGTGTCGCAGTTGCAGGGAGGTAGAAGGTAAATGAGGAGCTGCAAGGTGCCCAGCTGTTCTTCCGGCTCCAACACTAAGCAAGGCAGAAAGAGATGCTCAAAGTAAAATGGGGGGACTCGCCCTGTTTAGGCCCCCTCTTGACTTTCTTCAGCAGGATATTATCAAGTCACATTTGATTCCTTCACCACCTCTCCCATTGGCTTAGTAATTTACCAGCAAGGTTCTATGAAGGATATAAAGATAAATTAGGCCTGGGGAAAGGTAACTTAATTTCCCTTTTTTTCTTCTCCCTCCTTTTCCTGGCATTACTCATCATTTATTTTATGTATTACTGTATTTCACTTTTGGTAAATATTTACTCACAATGACCGAGAAATGATACACATGATAAAATCTGAGTTAATACACAAGGGACAGACATTTTGTTGGCAATAACCAAGACAGCGCACAGTGACATTGTCTTCTCTGTTTCTGTGGTCCTATTTGACTTGTAGAATTGGAGGGCGAAAGATATGGAGGCTGATATTCTCACTCCTCCTCCGCCTCCTTTTCTCCCCAGTGGCGTCTGCGCCTATAGCCCTGAGGCAACCACGCTGAACGTCCTGGCTCTGGGCTACGCCATCCTGCTCCCCTGGAATGTTGCCTCCCCCCCCACTTTGGGCCCCTTTCTCACTCCTTCCTCATACAACAAACGCAAACTCATTTTGAGGCACGGACTCGATGTAAACTCTTGCTGTTACTTCAAGGTATCCATATATAGCACTTTCTACTCTCCTAGGGTCATCTGAAAGCATCCCAAATTCTTCTGGGCTACTTCTGTTTGTTCTGTTGTAGCTTTCTTCTTGCTAATTCTCCCCAGGGTAAATCTCAGAAAATTCCCCAAATAGCCCGCTCATCAGAGACCCATAAATACAGCCCCCAAATTATTGGGAAACACATGCGTGAGGTTTGGATGTGAGCTGGACATCCTGGTAATCCATGGACACATTCCTGCTAATGGTTGCGTTACGCACAGAGAGTATTGATGAAAGCTGTGTACAGCTCCCTGGTGAGAAGGGGGTCCGGCATGTCCCTCAGGAACTCCTTCAGCAAGGCAGCCACGTCATGAACACTGTGCTCTTCCTCCAGGGAGACATCAACCCCACGGTCAAATTCCTCGCGTAACTGGAAAATAACAGTTCAAATGGCAGTCTCATGACACCATACCTCTACGTTCAGGGCCAGCAAAAGAAGTGCTGTGTCTTACAGCATCTGGTATTAAGTTTGCGGAGATCCAAGGAGGAGATGCAAACATGTCACCTTGATATACAGAGTCTATGCAACTCAGCCATGGATATATATATACACACACACATATATATGCATTGTTAAATAAAAGTATCTGTGGATTTACCGTTAATGATGCAAGCAGAAGGGTTCAATAGTGATATCCAGGAGCTGGGAACAAAAGCTAGGGGGTTAGGTCAACTATAAATGTGGGAGGGAAGAATTAATTTATTATATAGCAGTTTTGCATGTCAGCAATCTTACCATGTTGGAATTTGGACATTTTATAGAAATATTCGACAAGAAAGCAAAGAGATTTTTCTGCAAACAACGAAAATCCAAACCTCGATAACCCATTCATAACTAAGTCTTGAAAGATGATAATAACTAAAAAGCTGCCTTATATTTGTCAGGTAGCTTTATGAACAGTTCCCAGGATTCCTTGCCTTAAATCATTATACTAGGTTTATTACTATTTATAGCAGCAGAAGACACAATAGCAAGAAAAAGGGAGTTATAACTCTGCACACTACTTTCATCGCTGACAGCTCAACTTCTGTTATATATTGTTCTCTGCTGTGGAAAATAATTATGTGAGTTCATGAGTCTAGTCTATGCAATAAACCTCGGTAGGAGTTCATGTGTTCCATCATTCCTTCATCCACTCATTCAGCAAAGAGGTACTGTATACTTCCCGGGTACCAGGCCCTCAAAGAGTGGTGGTGAATGAAGAGACAAAGCTCTTAACCTCTCCCAGCTCTCAGGCTGACAAACAGGTAATAAACGGGTAACCCTACAAATGATGAATGAACTGTTAATGTTGTGACAATTGTTCTGAGGAACTTAAAACACTAATTTGAAAGAACATAAACACCCCTGTGTTCACTGCAGTGTAATTTACAGTCACCAAGATATGGAAGCAGCTCAAGGGTCCTTCAATAGATGAGTGGATAAAACAACTATGGGATATTTACACGATGGAATACTACTCGACTGGAAAAAAAAAAAAAGATTTTACCCTTTGCGACAGTATGGACAGATCTGAAGAACATTACGCTAAGTGAAATAAGCCAGTCAGAGAAAGACAAGTACACATGATTTCACTCACATGTGGAATCTAATGAACAAACAGAACTTACAAGCAAAACAGGGACAGGCTCATAGATGGAGAGCAGATGAGAGCTAGTGGGGAGGGGGATAAGGGGTGGAGCGACTGAGCACAAAGGAAAACAGACTCACGGACACGGACAAAAGTGTGGGGATTGCTGCGGAGACAGGGCATGAGGGGAATAAAAAGTAATGGAAAAAAATACAATAAAGATTAAATTTAAAAAACATGTAGGGTACTAAGAAGGGATATAACAAGGTAAAATGGTGAGTCAGAGCATCTCTCGTTCTAGAAATTTAAGTTTAATAATCACTAATTATATTTGCATTAGAAAATCTCCATGCAGAGATTTTCCTTTGCTGGAACCAGGTATAATGGAGGAGTAATTTCGGACACTCTCTCTCCACCTGGTGGAAATGCCCATCAGGGCCCTGAATCGCTCATTGATCCTAGGCAGCTTCTTATCAGTGTGCACCAGACAGCCAGGGAAAAGGCTTCCGGGGGTGCCGGTCCTGCTGGGGATCATTCCGACACACCAAGGTTCTTTTCTGAGCACACACACATAGAAAAGAGTGGACAATGGAAAGAGCTTGGTCTAAACTGCGTGACCTTGAATTTCACACTGGCTAAATTGTGTGACTTTGGCTTGAGGTTCTGAATCTCTCTAATCCTCAAAAGAAGCGGTTGAAAGGGGCTACTCTCAGAGCTGCTGGGTGGATTCAATGGAATAATGTTTGTGAAAATATTCTGCAATTCTGCACAGGCCTAACAAATGTTACTCTGCTAGCTTCCTTTCGGCAAGCCCTGGTCTGCGATGGAGTTCCATCGTATCTTGTGTGACTATGACAAATAAAAACCAACCAGCAAACCAAACAGAAAACACACTTCTTTTGAAAGCCCCTCTTATGTTGACAAAAATATAGGTGAGGAGGTATTTATTTCAGTTAGTTTCAATTATATGAACGAATATTTCTTCAGTTTCATCCCACTAAACATTATTTTCACTTATGCTTATTTATGCCCTACTATATTCTCTAGGTACCTTCATTTTTAAGTTGTTAAGTTCCTGATTTTTTTCTGTTGGAACCAACAAAGGGAAAATAACATTTTAATTTTCTTTTAGCCAACAAATGAATCCTTTTCTCAAAGGATGGCTTGTCTTTTATGAAGCCATCACAAACACGGATGTCTGCCTGATCATAGTGACCTATTCCTGAAGCTCTAACATCAAACTTCAATTGCAAGAATGTTGCCCAATACAGTCCCCACATGAAAAATGAATTGGGGATCAATGATTTCATGAAAAATTCATGAGAATTATTTATTTTTGAGAAAGTAAAGCTATAAACAGAGCATTATATGAATGTTAATGGCATTATTTATATTGCATTTTAGAAAAAATGGGTGCTATACAGTTATTTCTTATTATCACTTGCTGATTAGGTACTCTCTGAATCTCTTGCTTTTACAGTTTCAATAAGTTCTTTATAAATTAGTTTTGTTTGGCTGTACATGCCATGCACACGTCTGGACGTTTTGCTTTCAAGTGTTTGATCTTAACTCAATCACAACATTTCTGAGCTTCTGAGTTGTTGCCTTTTACCTCTTGGGAGTCAATTATACTATAATTGACAGGAAGGTACAGAAAAGATATTCAGAAATGAATTTGCATAAGCTTGAACTTGGAACGAGGTAATTCAGTTGAAATTCAAGTGAAACATAAAATAGAATCTTTACTTTGCACTTACTTGTCTCACTCTCTTTTTGGAGCTTCCGACTCGGAATATCCCCACTGTCTGGAGGCCTACAAATAAGCAAACAAAATCAAGTCTTGTTTAATGGCTTAAGACTCTGGAGGAAATCAAAATAGAAACAGAACAGAAGGCCAGCACTTAGCTGCGACATGCAGAGCAATAGTAACTTAACGGTGCTCACGAATGCTTGTTTATCCCCCACTATATTCTCCAGGTACCTACAGGTTAGCACTAGAAGCACCAGGATAATTCCATGTTAAACATTTCTGAGAAAAATCTTTTTCATGTGATATTACATACTTCCACACCTCCATATGAAAAAATTCTCTTATTATTCAGAATAATTACTTAATCATGTATTTTATAAGAATTTTTAGCTCTTTGTCAATATTTAAAATTGATATTTCTTGTTTTACTGATCATAATTAAAACATATACTTATTAAAGAAAATCTGTAAAAGGTAGAAAAGTGTAAAATATAATCAAACATAATATACTTTGAAAAGTACCTGATGCAGGAATAGTCGCTCTTAATATTTTGTTTTATTTCTATCCAGTCTTTTCTCCATATATATGGGAGTAAGCAAAAGTAGGTTTACAGTTGTATTAAAAATAAATAATACAATAATTAATAAATAATATAAGATTAAATTGTTTCATGTACTTACAACTGTAAGCCTACTTTTGCCCATCCCTGTGTATATGGAGAGAAAGTGAGAGAGAATGCTACTACTTTTACTCAATACTATGCTGTAAGAAATTTTTTTAAAGATTTTATTTATTTATTTTTACAGAGAGGGGAAGGGAGGGAGAACGAGAGGGAGAGAAACATCCATGTGTGGTTGCCTCTCACCCCCCTGGGGACCTGGCCCGCAACCCAGGTCTGTGCCCTGACTGGGAATCAAACTGGCAACCTTTTGGTTTGCAGGCTGGCGCTCAATCTATTGAGCCACACCAGCCAGGCATGCTGTACGAATTTTTATGCCAGTAAAAATTCCTTGTAAATGTCATTTAAAATGCATACAAATTACTTTATTGTATTAATGTTCCACAATTCACATATTTCCCTCTGAATGACATACGCGTCTCCCAACACACATGCACTTGTTTCGTATTATAAATGACCCTGTTATGAACAACTGAACAGAGGTCTTAGTTCACACTTCTGATTTTCTTAGGACCATGTCCTAGAAGTGGGATTATAGGGTCAATGCATAAAAAAGAGGTATCTGACCCAAAATGTCAGTAGCTCAGAGGTTGAGGCACAGTGCTAAAAAACAAAAAATTAGGTCTCTTAAAACAAACAAATATTATCACTATCACACATTAGAAATTTCAACAATAGTTCCTTAATATCATTACATTTCTAGTGAACATTCGTATAAGACTCACAAACTGACAGGTTGATGTGCGTCTAAGCCCCTTCCTTTATGTGTCCCCACTCTGCGTTTTTTCCTTGAAATTGGCTTCATGAAGAAACAGCACTGATTTCCTGCTATAGATTTCCCATCATCTGGCTTTGGACACTTGTGGTGTCATTTGTATGTTCCTTTCTCCCCTTTATTTTCTCGGAAGACATAGTTAGAGCCAGAGTCCCCTCTGATTCAGGTTTGATTTGGGGGCGAAATACTTTATGAGAGGTATTATGCGCCTCCTTCGGGGTGCGGGCTGCCCGGATGCCCCCGCTCCTAAGCACGCATTGTTTATGGCCGCTGACGCTCATCGTCTGCATTTATCCTTTCATCGCAGAGTAAATGGTGGCTCATTCTGTCTTCATCTGGGATCATCAGCTTGGAGGCGACACCCAACTGGCTGTCAGTGCATTTTGTAGCCACATGAAGAGATCTGGTCTGAGAGTAAAGCCAGCAAACAGACTCACGCACAAATGGCATCATTTGAAACCGGAATCCAGCTGTGCCTGAATATAATACTCAGACTCCCAGTATGTAAATGGGATTTTTTTGGTAGGGGGTGACTTGCTTAATCTAGTTTTATCTAGGCTCCTCTCTCTTGCCACTGAAAATGTTCTGACTAGTACACTCCTTTTGTTTATTTATTGTATGCTCTTGCCACATTATATATTAAGTATAAGCTTTTTTAGTTTGTTTTCCAGGGTTTTTTAGTTAAAAAAAGATAGTATTGATAAATACCCCACTTATCACTTCTATATCTTAAATGGTGTCCTGGATTTCCAGAGTAATTTGAGAGAATCCAGGTGAGAGGCTGATTTTCTTGGTGCTTTGTTCTTGGGAGGGATTTTGCTTTGCATCTATTTTCAAAAGACTTCTGTCCTGTCTTGTTGCCGTCATCAATGACTGAGTCCAACCCCCGGCCTAATTTATTGCTTTTACCTCTCAGGAAACTTGAAAACAGGATAATCAAGCTATTAGAATCAAATCCAAAATTATGTTTCTACGTCTGCATAATAAGCATAGTAAGTACCTGAAAAACAATAATAAAAGAAAGAAGTATACACCTCAAAAGGTATACAATGATTCAACTAATTAATGCACATAAACTACTCAGAATCATGTTATCATGAAATATTATATAAAGCGAGATACGCCCTCACTGAACTGAGTGAGTCTTCTTTGTGCAAAATGGAACATTTTAATACAATAGTAGGTCTCAGCAATGGTGCTTTCGGCCACATTCATTTTCTTATTTTCTGATGGTTTTCAGGCAGTTGAAACTTCTACCTAAGTGAGATGTCACATGAGGGCATTTTCTGCACAGATGATATCGGTACTTTTCATTGGGCTGAATTTCTCCAGGCTGTTCAGACATGTCCATTTCTATGACATGATTTTCTCCATTATAGTACTTCTCCACTGGTCAAAATGACTGTAGTTTATAAAATAATTAATTAGTAATCAACTGTTATAATTCCTTTATGTCTCAAGGGACTATGACCTATTTTAAGTTTAAAAATTATTTTCGTTCTTTCCTTTCCTTAGGTAGAGCAAATGACAGCGTTCAGCCAGCCAACGCTGTTCTCTGACATGAACCTCAGAGTGACTTTCTTCAAAGAGAAGGTACAGTCTAGGCATTCCATAACCTTTATTTAAGACAATCACTGATAAAAACAGGCATACATTAAAAAAAGGCATAGCTCTGGCAAAGAAAAGTAACTTTGCTGTGTCCTGTCCCAGAAATCGATGTGATCACCTTTCTTTCCTTTTCATCAGAAACTGAAATGAAAATCTGAATCTCAGGCTGAGGAAATTCAAGTAACAAGGGCAGGCACAGTCAGAAGGAGATTCCACCGAAAACTCGGCCTAAATCCCAGAGAGATAACCAAGCTTGACTCTCCATTATATTGTCTTTTTAAAAAATGTGTGCTCCTGGGGATTGAGGATGCTTAAGAGATTTTGACCTGATAGTATAGGAAGCACTTAGATGAAATCTAAGGGAGGAAGGGCGATGTAGAAAAATATAGATGGAGTCTAAATAATTGTCTAGACCAATTTTGGAGAGAGTAGAAAGATCTTTGATAAATGTTTATAAGGCTTAAGTGATTCGAAGTCGTGCTACTCGTTTTCAAAAACTGACAGGAAAAATCTTATGAAAGAATTGCTTTTGAAGTTAGCTTTTTCTTCCATTGGCTTAAAGTGAACAAGATTAATATGTGTTTGATTTTGAGTGTGTCTCTTATTTTCCTGGAGCCATTTGGTGTAGACACCATGGGAACCCTGAACAGAGAGCTGGGGCCTTGAAAGATCACCCAGGTTATCTCTTTTCCTTTCGGCCCTAAACTGCATTTTAACTATTCCCAAGGAAATGCTATTTTACAAATTATTGTTTATTTTCAAGAAGAAAATAAAAAGGCATATCAAGTTTTCTTTCACAGGAGTAATTACCCAAACTGTCTCTCTCTCTCTCTCTCTCTCTCTTTTTTAAGTTATTTATTTATTTTTCCAAATACATTTGTTTCCACCTCCCCCCCACCACTTTCCCTTGCCCCCTCCACCCTTCCCCTGTGGTTTTGCCCATGAGTCCTTGCTATATGTTCCTTGACTTTCCCCTTCCCTTCCTTTTCCCCCCGCCCCCCACCCTCCTTCCCTCTTGTCTCTGTTGGTTTCTTTTCCTTTCAGTGCTGCTGGTCTTATTTTCCTTGCATCTTTGTGTTGTTGGTTAGGTTCCTTGATTCTTGCATAATTGGAGTGGCATTTTCTTATTTAGAGTTCTTTAAAATATTTACAGTACATTTTCGATATACTTTATAGGGAAAATTATAGTTAGTAAAATATGCGTCTCTTTTTCCTCTTCATAGTATAATTGAGGCGGAATTTACATATTAGTATAATTGAGGCTGAATTTACATATTGATAGTACTTTACTCTTTAGTGGTTAAGCTATTTTTAAAAACAACTCTGTTCAAACAATACTCACAGAACATGTACATCGTGTTAATCATGATACTAAGTACTGAGAATTCAAAATGACTAAGACCTTTTTCTTAACCTCCAGTTTACCTGGCAAGGAGAAGAGACAGATAAACATGTACACACATGTACACACACATATTAAAATTTTGTACAAACAGCCAGGTGTACAAACCCTGGCTGGTGTGGCTCAGTGGATTGAGCGCTAGCCTGCAAACCAAAGGGTTACCAGTTCTATTACCAGTCAGAGCACATGCGTGGGTTGCAGGCCAGGTCCCCAGTGGAGGGCACGTGAGAGGGAACCACATATGGATGTTTCTCCCCCTCCCTTTCCCCTTCCCTTCCCCTTCTCTCTAAAAATAAATAAATAAAAAATTTAAAAAAAATGTATAAATAAAATTTCAATACAATTAATTAATTAAGCCACTCACATGTTATGAAGGGATTTCTATATACAATGATTTTATTAAGAGACTTAGCTATATCCTTAATAGTTTTTAATGAATTCCCAATTTTATTAGAAAGAAATAAATGAGAATGTTAATAATAGCTATGTTACATCTACATAATAGCCCCAGAAATTTTTCCTCTTCTGTTTCCTCTTTTTCCTTTATTACAGTGAGCATATTATTTGTAAAGTAAAGAAGCAGTAAAAAGACATTTCTCATATCCACCAAATGCATGCTAACACTATAGCAAACAAATTTAGATTATGGAAATGGCCATTTGATGAGCCAGGTCTATATTTCAGTAATATTTTCAAAGAACCCTACAGTATTTTTAAGTCAACATACTAAGTGGAACTGAGTTGCCCAGAGGGTCATTGTGAAGAAATTCTAAGTGGACACCTTCCACAAAATGCAAATAGCAATACAGAAACCTGTTGTCAAAAGCTGTGCATTGTCTATTCACTTTAGGAATTGTGTTCAAATCTTTTTTTAAGAAGCTGGACTCTTATTTTGTAAAGGAAGCCTTAGGCGTACCTTCAATGCATAAAAAAGATAAACACGGCTCTGCTCTGTCTGAAGGGAACCTAGTGCAATAGATTTTGTGCTCCCCTAAACTGCTGAGCTTTAACAGTCACTTCTGAAGACCCTGGGGGTCTGGACAGTCTGAATGCCACAAGGGAGATTCTCCCCCCTCCAAATCTTGGTTGGCTAAGTCGTCTCTGAAGCAAACACATCCATAAACTACCTTCACAAAGGAAACTTTGGCTGAGTTTGATCACATGAACACAGAATTAAAATGGGTGTTTAAATGAATGGTGCCTGAATCAATAAAAGTCTTTAGTATTTGCTCACTGACAGACAAGTATGCTCACCGTGTTTTTCTAGATGTTGGCAGCAGCTGTCCACCAGCCTGGGAACCTGTCTGTAAATAGGATTCAGACTGAGCTTCTTATCTCGGGCTTTTTCTTTCTTATTTTGAGCCTCGGCAGGCAAGGAGAGTTGTAAAGCTTCTAGCAGTCGAGACTGATTGTCGTCCAGATCTGTGATAGAGTCCACTGACATCGCACCCTGCGGACCGCACATACATGCGCATGAACAAAGAGCGCCCACAGAGAAAGCAAAACAGCTTCCCCCGGACACCACCCAGGGATACTTTCACCTATAAGTATTTATCACACTTGAAACAAGACTGCTTGATTTAATGGTGCTGTTTGTATATTAAAACGAACAACCAACGTACGTCTTTTGAAAAAGTTAGAAAACCTCCGTGACTTAGGGGAAGGTAATGGCCGCTACATTTTCAGCAACAGACAACATTTCCAAATGAAAGACAAGAGAGGGCAAAGATATAATTAAAATATTTTGACCCAACCACTTCGTTCCTTGAAACAAGAAAACATCACACACTCGATGAATGAGGTCGTTGGAGAAGTCCTATGAATGAAAAAACCCAAGTCTGACTCTAGAAAGTAGGTTTTTACAATAGGAGGATTCCATAAAACGCTCAGTTCCTTTACCCCCAGAGGCTGCACAAAGTACTTTATTAGGGAAGTGGTCTCAGGGGGTACCTGCAGGGGAGTGGGGGAATGAGAAAGGGAAGGGAGAGCAGATCACCAAGCCTGTGACCGCTGTCAGCAGCTGGAGTCCAATGGCATGGGGACCTCTGGGAGAGAGTGTTAATCAAACACCGCAGAGCTAGCCCTGCTAAGGTGCCAGGGAGCTTGGGTATGACTACTCCAAGTCTAAAGAGCCATTGACTAAAAGTAGCTTCTGCTATGCGCAGGGAGGTGATGTTAATGCGTCAGTACTTGAAGCCTGTTATCTCCACGGGGGCGCTTCTCTGGCCATCGCAGACAGCCCTCAGCAAAGAGATGAGGTACCGGCAGGTAGAAAGAGGGCTGGCATGCAAGGAATGGGGAAGACTGAGGGGAAAGAAACGGAGCACCAACTGAGTCTGTATGGCCACCCATTCTTTGATGAAGCATAGAAGTTGGCTGCTGGTGTCCTGGGAAGGCCTGAACACAGGAGAGAGTAGTTGTGTGGCCCTAGATTCCCAGAAAACTCTATGTAGAGTTGTGCTGTCATTGCCATATATGGATTCGTATAGCCAGTCTGAGAAACAATGAATGGCAGGATTGGAAGAACAATCCCATCATGCAAATTCAAAGGTCCCACAATGCCATCACTCCTTCATTTTTAAACATAGCTGAGGCTTTGAAAAATAGCAGTGACTGAAGTGCCCCTCTGTCTTGGAGAGATCCTGAATGTTGGGAGCTGAGGAAGAAATAAGGATTTCAAGTGAGAGGTTATCTGGGGTTTTAACTAGGGCACTCGTCAATGGCTAGGGCTGACAGTGATTTGGGGCCTCCAGGTGAGAGAGAAATGAGAAGATCTCCCATTCCAGGGACCTCGTAAGTTTTAGAAACATTTATCAACTGACTCAGCCAATCACCAACCAATTATCCGAAAACTCAGCTTTCCTGGCTTGAAATGTGAAGTTTGAAATGCAAATAATAGCACAGTGCCTGGACATGATACTCATTTAACAGTACTCTATCAGTATTGATTTTATACACCCCCCCACACATATAGTTCTATGGTTATGTTTGGGGAAAAGGAAGTCCCACTGATAAGAAAAACGTCACAGATTATGAAGACCAGCAGCAAGTCACTGGGCCAGGCATGGTTCTCAATTGGAGATGAAGAAATGAACAAAAACATCTAGCCCTTCCCTCAAGCCTCACAGTCTCATGGGAGAGTCTCCTATTACAACACAAGATTGCATCAGATCAGTGTCAAGGGTGATGTAGAATGTTCAGGATATCATGGGGCATATGGGTAACGAAGAAGAGGCACCCAGCAACTTTGAAAGGCTTTGAGGGTATTATAGGGACCATAGAGTCAGTGGAAATTCTCCCTGAATGCAGTTGTTGACAGATACCTGAACACAAATGATATTTACAGTTTTCATACGAGCCAAGGCTCAAAAAATAACCGTATGCATCTTCAGTTGTCCCAGCATTGGTGACAGGGAAAATACCGGCCAACTCACCCTCCTCCTGGCCCGAGGCGCCGGTTCTGGGGTGTTCGGGGATGTAGATTCATTTGGTGTTTCCGAGGTGGAGCTGAGAGATGAGTTACTGCTTGACAGTTCTTTGTTTTGTCTTTTATTTCCAAATGGGAGGAGGGAAGCAACAAAATCAGATGCATCCTTTTGCTCGTCCCTCTGTGAGTCTTGCTTGAGTTTATAGGCCCGGTCATTTGCAATGACTTGGGATAAGGGCATTCCAAATGCCTGTGGGATGAATTCTGGAATCAAAAAAACAAACATTCATTTTCAGAGAAAGACTGGACCAGTGAACACTCTCACTCATGTTTCAGACCTCAGGGAAGACATATTCAAACGACTGTTTTCAGAAAAATTGATTGCTCAATCAAAATACAAGCATGTCTTTTGTGTTCATGAGAGTGGCCAAAGATTCTCTTTCCATAAAGAAAGCTAGTACGTATAAAGAATATAGATGTTAGAAATCTCGGTCTCTAGTTTTCTTCCACATATCAGAAGTATGACCTAAAGGAAATAACTTTATAGAGAAATGTGATGCTGTTGATAGCATGTACATAATACTTTATCCTCACGAGTACGCAGTTTTACAAACTGTTAGTCTTCAATTTATGTCTCAAGAACCCCCCTAAACTTACAAGGCATGGCAGGACTCCACACTTACGCATTCATTCCACAGGTGCTTAGCGAATACCTATCACATGCCATGGCAAACCACACAATGGTGAGTATAGAGCTTATGAAAGGTAGATCCAGTCCTTGGTCTTGAAAGGTTCCAAGAGTGGAGAGGGGGAATACAGAGTCAGACATGTCGATAAATGTAACAGTGTCTACCAAGTGCTAAAAGAGAGAGATGCATGAAACAAAGACCGAAATTCAGTTAAGGACATACACTTTGAGGTTCTTAGTAAAAGAGCCTCATGAAATGATAATCTGAGAGATGGAAGAGCAACTTTGGAAGCAGTTTGCTCTTTCTTCTTTGTGTCGCTTGTCCTCACATTCTATCTCCACTAAGCCTGGTTGAGGCTGTCACCCTCATCATTTGTACCCAAGCCGTTCTGCTGGCATCGTGCAGAAGTGGACTTTCACCATTAAACGTCTGGTGAAGGGCCGAGGATACAATTTGTTAAATCCTCTAGTGAGGGCAATTTTGAGGAAGGAGCATAATGCAGAAATCTGTGGCTTTATTTGGAAATGTACATCCAGCTGCTTTCTGGGTCTCTGTAGTGATGTGTATACACAAATTGTAAGCTCGCCAGTCCTTAGGGCCAGGCATTTTATTGGCAACATTTTAGATTCAGGCTTAAAAGCATTAATAATTAAATTAAATTATTTCTTTCAGACTCAAAATTAGGTCTCCTAGCAGCAGCAGATTGGAGTCTTGCCTTCCCATTATTTTTCTAACCCCTACGAATAAAACCAGAATGATCAGGAGAAAACATTTCTAAAGTTGTTTGTTCTTTGAAGGAAAAAGCTAACATAATCAGGTGGAAAGAGGCTTTCAAAGGTTTTCTTCTTTGATCATGGCAACATTTTTAATGTCACTAAGCTAATGGCCAACTCTACATTAAAAGCAATTCTGCACCGTGAAAAGTCTGCACCTTGGTTCTATTAAAACATGGCAATTCATCTTGGAGTGGAAAACGAAAACTTCAGCATTTGGAGATTTTTTAGGGGCTGCTTAGCACTTTCCCATCAGCAAACCAGGTGGCATATAACAATACACAAACAATTTAGGAATACTCACTACTGATAAAAGACCACTTCCACTACTAGCAAAATTAGAGACCAAAGTGGGCAATACCAGACCACCTGCTGTGCACCTCAGGGGGGGCCGGGGGGGGGGGGGGGGGCGGGGCGGTGTGCCAGGGAGGATTTATTATGTAAATCAGCACTCTCTTGCTTCCGGGAATAATCAGACAGTCTTTCCCCCAAAAGGTTGGGGAAAGTATAGAAACACGGGGGTGGCGAGGCTCATTGCTACATAGGATATAGAAAAACAGTTAGGGGATAATAATGGCAAAAAGGCATTGATAAATTTACCAAGTGACATGCGTCTGCTCGCGAGGGCATGCTCATAGCAGAATTTAACACGAGGTGTAGACTATTAATTTCTCTCCTAGCCATATTTTCTATATGAGGAAAACCAACGAGTCTCATTCAGAGATTTCTAATATCCTTGGGGGAAAAAAGAAGAAAAATGGGCTTCCTTTGGAATCTGTCATTTTTAAATCTGAAAGTCTGTCACTCTGCTTGTAAATTGAAATAATTGAATACAAATTAAACAGATGGAATACGTGAAGTCATGCTCCCCAAGTTTTTATTTTTCTTTTAGTCACATTCGAGAGGCGTAGCCACCTGTAACCGATTTTTATTTCAAATAGCCTTTCTTTCCTGACTGAGTTTATTCTTTCGGTAATAGTGGTGTGATGTAGCGTCTTTAGTTTCCCATTGCTTTCTCCTCAGCACTATTATAAGCTTCAGGAACAAGACCTCTCTATGGCTCTAAACTTGTGTTTCAGTGCCTAGTTTCTGTAAAATTCTAGGCAGAATTCCTTGAATATTATTGCTTCTCAGATGATGGTTATTGTGAAACTGAGAATTCATCAGAAGTATATTGAGCAAAACCCTCCTTTATGTGTAAATAAACTGTCGGGCATTCATGCTTATCTGAGGGTTCAAAGCTCTTCTGTTAGCAGAAAAAAGAAACCTAGAGACTCTGTGATGATAGCAGCTAATAAAATTGATAACAGGTTTGTAAAACGTTAGGACATGACCCAAGACTCACTCTTTGGGGGCCAGGGACACTGTGTATCATGTTCTTATCTACGGTATGTGCTCATTAAGGAGACTGCTTCTCCTGCTGTCATCTTTAGGAGCAACTGTCTACTTTCCCTTCCTATGAACTGTGGGGTCTGGAGGTGGCGTGCCATCTTCTTTGCTCCCTACTGCAACTTCCGGACCATCACTCTCCCACTGGGTGGCAGAAATGTGCTATTGCAACGTTCCCTTTGTGTCCCGCCCCTTGCTCTCTTCTGTTGTCACTGACTTTCACTCACGGTTGGGACCACCCCAATCTATCATCATCCTGGGTGACTTGGCTGTCTCCTTAAATGACCCGTCCCATTCTCTCTCCTCACATCTTCTCGGCCTTCTCTTCTCTTAATTTTTCATGTGCGCCACCTTTTCCATCCACTCCCTCCACCCCAGCTTGCACCTTGTCCTCAGTGGAAGTGGTTCCACGTCTAGCGTCAGGCTTCCTCCATCCAGTCTTGTGTCCTCCCACCTCAAGTTCATGTTGGACGCTGGACGCTGCATCGTGGCAGTCTGTTTACACACGCCATTAAGCCACCCTTTCCTCGCTGCACTTTGATGGTGTCTCAACACTCTTAGCATTTAGACCAAAAGCTGTGCAGGGGGGCCCACGCACTCTCGTGGAGGTAGTTCCTTTCTACTTTCCTCTGGAACCCCATTCTCCCTGGTTCTCTCATCTCCAGCAACAGCATTCATTGACAGTATTCACCACGTTTTCTTTCAGAATCCCTACAGAGTGACAAGCAGCACTTGATTTTTCTACTGCTATTTCATATGATGAAAAATGAAGTTGTATCAAGTATTCCTATATGTGAGCTCACATGGAGTGACTTATATAGACAGTCAGGAACAATAAAACATGGCATGTATGATTTCAGCATAAACAAAGTTGCCAGACCTGAACGATCCCTAGATTTTATGTTGATAAATATATGGTGCAATCTGAAAACATCCTGTGTAGAGAGGGCCTATCCCCAAATTTATGCCGCAATAAACCCCATTCTCCTGGTGCTCTGATCAGGAACCACATTAACTGGAACAAAGTAGTTATTTTTAAACTTTTACCCCCACGGTTTTTCTTTTTGATACAAGCTAGACATTTTCTAAAGTTCTAAAAGGTTAAAAACTTTTTTTGGTTGCCAAGTAATTTTACCAAGAGATAAAGGCTTGGAACTATTCTGTACAAAAATATGTTTTTTGAACAAGCATCAATCTTTTATTAGTTTCCATGCGGAAATCAGAAGTCATATGGTCACTGCTTAATTGGCACGAGGGACGCAGGAGTGTCACATGATCTTCTGTAGACTGTGTCATGCAATTAAGTAAAACACAGGACACGATTCCTTCTGATTGAATCAATTAATATAGCAGCCTAGCAAACACTTAATGAATCACTATTGGGAAAGAAATTCAATTCTAATGAGATGCTCCTATTTATTTTTAGATGATCTAACCCAAGAGGTCATTTAGAGTTTCCTGTTTTCCTTATTTTACTCTTGGATTCAAATGATTATCATTTTTCACATGTGCAGCTGTTATGAACCCAAATGCTAATATTCAAGCGGAAGAAGATAATGTGAACCGATTACCACACTGCGAGATCTGCCTGTAGCCCCTCACACGCTAGTTCCCAGGACACCCATGCAATGCATGTGCTGTCGTAGACAGGGCTTTATGCTTGGAAAAGGTGACATGCAAGTAAGTTTCACTTAAGCCTAGGACATCTTCTTTTTTAAATATCATAGCTACTTTAAAAAAGAAAAAAAAAAGCTCTTTTTTGTCATGAAGCCTGATATTTCTCCCCTTAGTTGGGTGGGTGATGTGTCGCGTCTGTGGAATCATGAGGACCTGTTTGTCCCCCTGCCCCCCGCCAGCCCCCTGTGCAGCCTTATAGAACACTGCCAGGTTTTCACTGAGCCTATATAATATATAAATATGATTTGGCTAGAAAAATGTACAATGGCCCAGTGCACATTCGTCGATTACTTCTCCTGGCCCTTCCTTCACTGCTCCCTGACATTCTTGCTTCCTGCTGTTTTGCGTTATAAGCTAGCACATACATCTCCCTCTGTGGATAGAACTTAAACATCTCCCACAAAAATGCTCATCTGCTTAGTCTAGCCCGCATGAACACCTCAGAAGAATCACCTAAAGTTGACATTATGAGTATTCAAATCCCAGTCTAAATATCATTATCCTACAATAATCCAACTTTAAAGATCACACATTACTTTAATGTGCTTCATAAACACTGAGAACTATCCTAATCAAGCCACATAAAGGTGGTTTGTGAAAGGAAGAGAATGAGTAAAATCTAGTTTACAAAAGCTATCCTAGCTACTAATATTCATTGAAAAATCAGGGTAAGAACATATGAACTAAATAGAATACAATTTATCAGGCAATGATAGATAGTTGGACTGAGAGTTAGCACCCTTTACCTTCATATTCCTGCAGCAGATTCTGCTGTGATAGGACATATCCTGGTAGGTTTACTGGTGAATATGGACCACAGTCTTCCTCTTAGAAGTTGCCCATTAGTAGTTTGTAAAATTACTGATATCCAGTGCACCTTCAGATCAAGGAAATCAGACTTTCTCTGGTGTGGGATTGGGCATTGGAAATGTGAAAGGTTCCACAAATTATTCTCCTGTGCAATCAGAAGTAGGAAATCATAGGCATACACTCCCCTTTCTCCAGTTTGACATAAATGATTGAAATGTCTGGAGATATTTCCATTAGGGGAGGTGCTGTTGGCATCTATCTAGTGGGTAGAAGCCAGAGATGTTACTAAACACCTCACATGATGTACAGGGCAGCCCCCACAACACAAAATTATCCAGTCTAAAATGTCAATAGTCTCAAGATTAAGAAATCATGCTCTATGGGAAGTAAAGCGTTGGTTTTCCATTCTTTAGACTTCTTTGTCTCTTTTATTCCAAAGAAGCAAATGTCATGGCCCTTTAGGCATGGTTCAAGATAAGGGTGTGGAGTCTGGGATTAATGATGAGGACTAGGTCTTCTCCAATACTGATCACAATGCATTTGTTCATTATACATTCAGTTTTATTGCCTTCCATTACTTTTCAAGCAGAAATTCAATAGTTATATAAAAGAACTCGCAGGTGAGGCATATGGCTCTCCTTACTGAACATTTATTTACTATGTCACATAAAATGAAAATACATTCATATGAGTACACCACTCCACAGTCATTTCATACGGGACCATGGAAGCAACGACAAAAAGGGGTACTGTGCTTATGGGGGCCAGGTGCTCACTGTGTGGACTCAATGAATATTAGTTTGAAATGACCACAAATACCCCTGAAAGGGTGGCTAAAGTGTCAATTCCCTAAATAGATGTAAAAGGGGACACAAACGTTATGGAGACAGCCAACAATTCCCAAAACATATAGGGCAAAGAATAAGTATGCTATGATCTAACATGAAAATGTTGAGAATGGCTCATCTTCAGTAATCTAAGATGGACTGTTTGTTTTTTTTTTTCCAGTAGTCATGGTAGGCGAATCTAAACTCTTTCTCATTCAACTAGGCCTGCCTAAATATCTGGATCTGCCAAACAGCTGGTTAACGTTAGAGATGCTATCCATGGCTACCCAACCCAGGTTCTCTCTATGCATAGCTGATTGGCCAGAAACATAATTGGAACCATAAACTTGGCTGAAGTCACACTTTGCTCAAACCAGTTGAACTCATCAATTCAGTACAGGGCCACTCAAACACAAAGGAGTAGACCAAAACAGTTCTTAATGACATTCTATCACAGAAATCCAGTTTACATAATAGAGTTGAACCATATAAATCTGTGCAGTTCAAAAACCCCAACCAAATTCAACCATTATGCTCCATGGAAGATGTATTCACCTCAGTTCATTCTGTCCCTTACCTTTGTCTTTGTTTTTCTCCTTCCCTAGTGAATCCAGTTTCTTTCTCAAAGATTTCTTCCTCTTTTGTCCATCTGTAAATATTAAAAGAATGAAAAGTTGTAAAAACAAGCATACAAGTAATATTTTTACATTATCAATAACTATGTTTGAGCAAAAGCATGACTTTTCATTTACTCCACTCATAATCTGACATTTTTAAACAGAACAATGGCTCTGAAAATACAAGAAAATCCCTGACTTGGATTACACACATCACGGGAATATTGGTATACACATATGATCTTAAATTTTGTTTTAATCATGGAAAGTATAGGAAACTTACCTCCTTGGGAAGTAATTTAGGCTTGATGCTTTAGATATGTTTGTTTTTACTATTAGATGGGTCTCTTCCTATTCTTCATGTTTATGCAAACCAATTTCATCTTTAAAATTTTTTTATTGAATTTATTGGGGTGACATAGGTTAATAAAATTATATATGCTTCAAGTGTACAATTCTATAATGCATCATCTGTATATTGTGTTGTGTGTTTACCTCTCAAAGTCAAGTGTCCTTCCGTCACATTTATCTCCCCTTTTCCCTCTTCTACCTCCCCTACCCCCATCCCTTGAGTACTCACCATACTGTTGTCTGTGTCTATGAGTTGTATTACGCTAAGTGAAATAAGCCAGTCAGAGAAAGACTAATACCATATGATTTTACTTATATGTGAGATCTAATGAACAGAATAAATTAAAAACAAAATGGAAACAGATTCATAGATATGGAGAACAGACTGCCAGCTGCCAGAGGGGAGGGGTGTTGGGAGGCTGGGTGGAAAGTGAAGGGACTGAGCAAAAACAAAACAAAATAAGACAAAACAAAACAAAACAAAACAACAATGTCATCTTGAATCAAGTCTCCATGAAAGGAGGGTCAACTGTACACACAGCTTGGACATTTATAAGCTAGTAAAGTGTAACAGAAGAAGGAAATGAATTTGGGGGTTATAGAACTCAGATCTAATTACTGCTGCATCATTTACTAACCTGTGACTTTGGATAAGTCTCAGTGTCCTCATCTATAAAGTGGAAATTCCATAGGGTTGTTGTGGGAATGAAATGAAACGATATATATGAAGTATGAAATGGGGGCCTGGACACACAAATTCAGATGCATTTTCTTCCAGAGGGGTTGTGTAGTACTCCACAGTGTGGCTCTATGCCGTGATTTCATTAACAATTCCCCCACTGATGGACACTAGGTCCGCTTCTAATTTTTCCCTCTAAAAAGCAAGGCATATCGAGCATCTTGTACTTGTAAGAAATGCACTTAATACGTCTGTTTCACTCACCAAATAATAAAGATACCACTCATATCAGTAGGCAGCTGCAATTGAATTCCTGGGATGTCATCGTAAAATATTGGCAGTCATTGCAAGAATGCATTTTGGGATTATGCAGCTGTCAGCTTAACATGTGGGAGACGCAAAGCGGGAATCCACACTGTGATCAAATAGGAGAAACACAGCCCGTGCCACGGGAAACTTATGTTTAAGAGGTGGATTAAGAATTGTTTTTTTATGGGATAAACTAAAAAGTGTAGTAAAGAAAGAAACTCAGCCCAATAAAATGTAAAAGCAAGACTCTGATATCAAGAAAAGACTTAAATACGCATTCTTAAACAGAAATGAACATTCCTGAGATCCTCATGGGGTTGTGGATGTTCCCAACTCCACCTCTCTGAATTTTTGGAGGCAAAAGATATAACAATATAATCAGCAGGCACATTCAATACCTCCTTCGTTTCAAAAAAACAAAAACAAATATTTCAAAAATGATTCTCCACCCATAAGATGGAAATAGTTCATAAGAGTCTTCACTCTTGCAGTTGCGAGATTGGTATAGGGAAAAATTATGTAAATCAGTTGAAACTCCAGCAAACAGTCATCGGTCTTTTTCATCACGTATATGTTCTTACCCTCTGCGTCTAAAAGACGATCTAACTGTAGGGACTACCATGACTTATTATATAATACAGATAATAAACATATTAACTGCATGAGGTTCTAATCTGTTCTCCAAATAGGACTGGCAGGTCTTCTACGTTGTTAACAGTTTGCTTACCACTAGTTCATACCACCAAATGTATTTAATTGTAACAAAAGTAATTTCTGAAAAATCCTATCATTCCTTCATTTCAATAGTTGACCGGGAAGAATAACTAAACGATATATGAAAGCATAAAACATTTATTTTTCATAACCATTGGGCAGATTTTGTAATTCAAACAAGTTGTGAAAGAAGCAGAATGATATTCTCCAGTTCCATCCACGCGGTGGTGAAGGACGGGAGCCCTTTCTTTCTTCCTGCCGCGCAGTGTTCAATTGGGGCGATGAACCACGCTTTTTGACCCACTCATCTACTGATGGGCACTCGGGCTGTTTCCAGCACTGGGCTATTGTAAATAGCGCCGCTATGAACATAGAGGTGCGTAAGTTCTTTTGAATTGGGGATTCGTGTGGGAGCAGGGGGTGGGATGGGCAGAGGAGGGCAAAGGGGGAAAATTGGGACAACTGTAATAAAAGAACAATAAAAGATGATTTAAAAAAGAACCAGAATAAATACAGAATAGGAGACGTTTTCTTTTGAGATGCAACGATTTTTAAAAAATGTCTTAGTTAGGGGTGTATCATATATGCAGAATTGTATAAATATAAACGTACCGTTTAAATAATAATTAGGAGGCCAACTCCCACCTCACCAACAGCGAAGTTCAGATGTAGACTATTGCTTGTACCAAGAAGCCCCCTGTATACCTTCCTCCCTCTCACCCCGGGTCATCACTGGTCTGAGTTCTGCAATAATCAGTGTTCTGTTCTTTTTTTTTTTTTTTTTTTTACAGTTTTACCATCAACATATGCATGTATAAAAAGTATAGTTTTATTTTTCCTGCTTTTGAATTCACATGTACAGAATCACATTGTAGCTATTCTTTCTTCATTTATTTCAGTCATCAACACTTCCTAAAATTCATCCTGTGGAGGCACGTAGCTGGAGGTCACTCATTCTGTTTGCTAGTCATTGCTTTCCTGTATGAATATGTCACAGTTAATTTACCCATTGAACTGTTGATGGAAATTTGAGTTGTTTCTAGCTTGCGACTGTTAGGAAAAATGTCTTTGAAAAATCTTGTTCGTATTTTCTTACATATATGTACAAGGATCTCTCTAAGGCAATGGTTCTTGAAATGTGGTGCTGGGACCAAGAGCATCAGGATTGCCTGGGATCCTGTTTGAGATGCAAATTCTCTGGTTCCATCCCAGGTCTGCTGAATTCCGGGGCGGGGCTCGGCAGTTGTGTTTTACCAAGCGCTGGGGGTGGGGCGGGGGGTTTCGGTTCACACTAAACAGAGTCTGAGAACCACACTTCTCAGGGATCTGTGTAGAAGCTACATTGTCAGGTCAGCACGTATGCAATCTTATAGGCTTTGGCAGGTAATGCTGAAAACTTTTCGAAGTAGTTTTGTTCATTTATATTCTCACCAGTAAGAGAGCCTACATAGTCTCACAGGGATAATGTGGATGTCAAACTCCAAACCTCCAGACATTTTCTTGAAGCCTCCTTATGGGAAAAATATGATCTTTCTGAATACTGGCCTATAATTTTTGGGGAAAAAAAAACCCCTTAATTATGTACAACAAATATTATCTTTTTCACTTAGTAAGACAGAAGTTAATGTTATTAACACGAATGAGACGAAATGATGGGCGATGTGCAATACTGTGAAATGATGCATTGCTTTATGCCATTTTGTCATTTAAAATCATCAGGACAATGACCAGAGCTGTGAAATGAAACTGCTAACTTCTTTTTTCCCTGGTGATCAATTAGCAGTCTGCTTATTGAGTCTCCAGTTTTCGAAGACTGTCTGTCTTTTATTCCCATAGATCATAGAAAAGTTGCCCAAGAGACTGACGGATCATGTGCAGCCATACAGAACAGTTTATGTGCAACCATTTCCCTGGATGGCAATAAGTGTAATATGCGCCATTCCATATTTTACAGAAATTTAAGCTTCCTAATTATCAGTACCGCACAGCAATGTTTTACAGTGCAAATGGTAATGAGCACATGCTTGTTAAGTGCTTCCGGGGTGTGCACTGTCTTACAGACAGCAGCGGGCTGTAGAGAGAACTTGGGTCACATGTCCTAATCAAAGGCATGTCGAAACAAGAACTTGTGGATTAGATTTCATGCATCCTCTTTTCAGAAGACCATGTTCCCCCCCACACGCATGACAACAGCAGACGGCAAGGTAGCAAGCCCTCCGCATACTAGTGACCCGGAAGCAAAGGAATCATCAGTATGGAGTGTGGTTAATCTGAGCATCCTCTTGCAGGTGACCGATACCATATACGGTCTTCAAGAGGGTTGAGAACAAGAAAACATGAGATTTCTCCTCTAGGACATGCTTTTCATGAACTCATTCATTCGCTGTCAGGTGGAGTTCCATTTTAAGGCTGGTTTCTCTAGCTAGGCTAGAAGCTCTCTGAGGGCATAATCATGTCTCCGAGGCTTTTGTCTCCCTTCAAGCCGATTGCACAGAGTAGGGCACACCACGAGGACTTGTTAGCACTGCCCACGGCCAGAAGTAAGATGGAGGTTTTGGGTTGGTTCTGAGAGAACCCAGGACCAATCTGATGCTTCGACAGACACAGGCCAAGAACTAGCCTAGTGGGTGCAAAATAACCACATTCATTCCCCCATTGTTTGGGTGGTGTTTAGCCCACACAGTGATTTATAAAAACTTGAGCTCTAATGCAATATCTTGGTAAGTTCACGTGCATACCTGGCTTTCTACCCCCTTGAGGAATATGAAGAGCTGGCAGCGGTGGTTCTCAGTCTTTACACTCGCCCCCTGGCCAGCAGAGACACCTAGGCCCGGGCCACCGCACACCTGGCAAGGCTCGGAGTTCACCGCTCCATCCCAACTGAAAAGGAAGTTCCTAGCTTGTTTCAAATCTTCAAAAAATTCCTGCTGAGAAAAGTTTGAAGGAATGCTTTTTGGCACTACCTCCCCTGCTGTTCCC